TATATATGAGGGCTATATTGGCCTTAGTGACCATTTTGTTCAAGTTTTTATATTTCAGTGACCCCCCTAGAAGTAGTCACTTGCCTACAGTGTACCTAGTTAGAAGAGAAAGGCCTCAAGAATCCAGGCCTACCGACTCCCTGGCCAGCATCTGTGCTCTGACCTCACCTGCTACATTAACCAGCTGTGATTTGTATGCCTCATTTGTGCACTGCAGGAATCCACACATTGCAGACACATTCCAAGAAAGCAGATGCTGTTGTGCAGATGTGTATGCATTTTGAAGATGAAGGACTTTGGGAAATCAGGTTGGAAAGAGGAATTTCCTAAAATGGGAGCATCTGAACTGCAGCCTTGGGGTCCTGCTTTTCTGTAAGGTACTAATATGCAGTGTCAGCAGTGTAGTCATCATCACCTTGATTAGTCAGGGTGGGAAGGATGGTCTGTGGGTTTGGGCTACGCTGAAAAGGGTTCTTATGAACTGGAGAGATCTTTAAACCCACTTCAAAGTCTACCAAGGCAATTTAGTCACAGAGTGAAAAAGTCTCAAAACAGGACATATTGTATGAGCATTTAACATTCCTGGATAGAAATCATCAAATGGAAATCAGTGATATTTAAAACTGCTTTAACCCCGTCTGCGGGGAGCACCGGGAGGCGTGCGGACTTGGAGGGAGAGAGGGCGCTGAGGGTGGGCGCGGACCTCCCAGCGTCTCCCTGGCCGCGGCCACCGGCCATCATTGCGGGAGGGTCCCCGGGGCACCCTTTTGGCGGGAACAGCTCACTGCATGTGTACCCTGGAGGTCCCGCCATCGCCATCGGAGTCCTGGGCACGGCCCGGCGGGGTGCGGGGGTCGTGGTGGCCAAAGTGCAAGAACTGATTCGATTCCGGTCAAGGGCATGTACCTTGGTTGCAGGCACATCCCCAGTGGGGGGTGTGCAGGAGGCAGCTGGTTGATTTTCTCTCCCATCGATGTTTCTAACTCTCACTCTCCCAACCTCTCTGTAAAAAAGAATCAATAAAATATATTAAAAAAAAAATGCAAAATAAATAAATAAATAAATAAATAAATAAATAAATAAATAAAACTGCTTTAAAAAAGACAGCAGTGGTGTGATATGTTTACAAGTTTTCTTTAAATGACATGTCACTAAGGCATCCCAGCAGAATACAGGCTCTTATGGAGTGCTTATGGCCATGGAACCTTGAGAGGTGGCTGTCATAACATACCATTACTGGTTTCTGGCATTATTATAACCAGGAAATTAAGGGTTTGGTGGGATCATCTGGAAAGTTCTGGCAAGAAGAATTAGGATTAGAATTCTGGAATTTAAGGGTCTTTAGTGATCATCTCATCCCACCTCTTCATGGACCAGATGAAAAAACAAACAGAATTTTGGAGAGGATGTTGACTTATCCAGGGGTGGTGTGTGGTATGCTCATACTCATGCAGATGGAAAGCAAAGAGCCTCCTTCTCATTAGTAGCCAGGAAAGACACATATTCTGGGGGTAAAGGTTGGAGGGCAATTAGAAAAAGTGAATGGGTTCCAATTGTATGTGGAAGGCTTTTGGGTTTGTGAGTTCAGAGGCCAGAGTACTAGTCTTATCCCTGAATTATGAGCTCCAGTCACCTCTTTTGTCCAATGGGAACAGAAGACAGTCAATAATTCCCAAAAAAGTGTGAACTTTAGGGTGACCAAGGAAAATGGGTGAGCAGAATGAGCTTCTGAGCCACCTTCACTCTGACTAGGCTTACTTCTGTTTTCTCTATCAGCTGACTAGGAGATTTCTTAGAAGAAAGTGTTCATTGAGACATAATATTTGAAAAACAACAAATATTGCAGGGGACTAGATGAGTCTCCAGAGGGCCTCAGCAGCCTGATATTTCGTGAGTTCTTAATTCCAAGAGAGGAACTCTGCAAGACATGTGTGGCCAAGGGCACAGGACCTGTCTCTATATGAGCACCAATTGTCAGCTGACCAGGGCACAGTGCCTCTGCAGGGAGGCTGATGTTGGTGCTCATTGGCATTCTAGAAAGGAGTCAGTTGGACAAGGCATCTTGCCCTCTCTGCCCAATGTGTTAATTCCTTCCTCCAAGGATTTAACAAAATGTGTCTGGGACAGAGCTACAAGGATTGCAGGGCACTTCAGGAAGGCAGTTCAGTTTCTGCATTGTCTCAAGTAGACTGATCTTTGGTTACAAGTCTGATTTTGGAGCAAAGAGAGGTTTTCTTGTCCACTCCAAATTATTTGGAAATTAATGGCAGATATGGGACTAGAACAGGCATTTCCTAAAACCCAGTCAAGAACCCAAGGCTATGCTGTCCTTCCAGAAGGTTTAGTTTCATCTCCTTGGGCTTTCAGAAAGGTGTTGGAAACCATTAATCAATATCCAACATATTCTCCAGCCAGAAAGATCAAGCTTTGGATAGAAATGTATTCCAATGTCCTTAATTCATTGTCAGAAAGGTCTTCAAATTCTATTGTTGCCCTTGAACAGTACTTGGTCATTTCCGCCCCCCTACAAAATGCAGCTGATGTCAGCTCCTTAATCTGCTTTACCAGGAGACTGAATTTATTTGGGGCAAAGGAGTAAGTTAAATCCTCTGTTGTGTGTTTATCATCTTGATAAAGGAGTCCTAACAAGGTCAAACCTGGCATCTATCTGAAAGAGAGGAAAACTTGTAAGAAATGATTGCTCAATGCATATCAACCAAGAGTAAATTCTAGGGATAGAGAAGGGAGAATAAGTAAAATAAGCCATTGTTACAGCTAAAGGAAAAAAAAATCTGTACTTTTTATGGTTTTGTGGCTTCAGCTACCAATAAAAGCAAGTGTTCTCATAAGAAAATTTCTAGATAGTTGACATGTTTGAAAGCAGAGGAAAAAGCAGTTAGGAAGTTCACATCTAGCTTTGTCTAAATCTATGGAACATACTGTCTTATTTAGCCAATGTTTGGTCACTTTCCTTCTGGTGACATTCACTTTTCAACCCAAATATTCAAGACTATCTTGGTTACATGACCAGTATTAGTTGGGGAATTGGGCTGGGGGATTCTGCTAACCTAATGTTCCTACCCATAGTCTGTTTTCTCTTGGGGTTTGGTTCTGACAGAGGCTAGATTGTGTCCTAAAGGACATATTTCTCCAGTTTGTCAGAAATTTCAATTTAGGATGATGCACTGGGTTCTTGGTGAACAGCCCCTGCCTGAGAGGTTGGCTCCATTTGCCACCCTCCCATTGTCATTACTCTTTTCCATCTTTTGCAGTGTCTATTTTTCTGGGCTCATCTTTCTTTGTAAGGGACTAGATCTTTTGTATCCCTAAATTCTCATAGTTCCTAGCACAAAACATTCAAAGAGGGGCAGCGTCCCCTAGAGCAGTGGTTTTCAAATGAGGAGATTTTGCCTCTCTGGGGTATTGGCAAGATCTGGAGACATTTTTTGGTGCTCAAAACTCAAGAGGGAAGTTCTATTGGCATCTAGTGAGTAGAAGACAGGGATACTGTTAAAAATTGTATAATTCTCAAAACAGCTTTCCTCAATAATGAATGATCTGGCTCAAAATGTCAATATTTAGAAACCTTGCCATAGAATCCCAATTTTGGAAGCTTTTATAGTCACAAAAACCCTTGTTGTAAGTAATATTTTTTATGCAAACCCAACATAAATGATAAGCAACATCCAACAATTAAAATAAGTTTAAACAGGGTAGGAGTTCACAGCCCCACTTATCAGGCTCCCCCTGCTTCTAGTGGCCTTGTAATCCCTGCAGTATCCTGGGGATCAGTGGATCATAGCTTGTATAACCAAAAAAGCATAGGATTGACAGTCACAACACATGGGTTTAGATCCTTGTTTTGCCACTTTTTAGCTATACAACTTTGGGTGAGTTGCTTTACCTTCTTGGATTTTTTCTTGGCCTATTAAATGGGATAGTAGTACCTATTTCTAAGGATTGTTTTAAAGGTTGAATAAGATTATAAGTGTAAAAGCACCTTGCAAACACACTACTTTGTTGTTGATCAAACATCCTTGCTAATATAAGGCTAACTCTTGTTGAATTATTGGCTGTGGAAAAATGAGTCTACAACAATCCTAACAATATGCTAAGTCTGCTCTAGAGTGGTTTTATGAGAACCTCTTCCAGGAAGTCAGAGAAAGTTTAGAAAGCAGGTTCTCATCTTTTCAAATCAGATACAACCTTAATAAACTCAATCTCTCAGAAATACTCCAATCATATTTTTTCATTTAAATTTAAAAAAAAGAAAGACATTCTCTAACCTTTCTTAGCCTCACTTTTAAAAAACAGCTTTCCATCCATGGTCTTGTTTGTGGGCTCTTTGTAAATTCCAGGGAATATGGTGTTGATTATTTCCTGCCCCTCATCCATGTGTTTTTTCTTTACATTCCCCTCTGATAGTAACCCCCACTCTTGCCTATACCCTTTGCTGATAAGATACAAACTCCTTAGCATCACATTCAAGGCCCCTCAGAATCTCTTCCCAATCTAACTTTCCACTCTCACCTCTAACTGTGTTCTACTGGATGTCCTACACTCCCCAAAACACTTGATCATTACTTAGGGAACTAGGCAATACTTTCCAGTGCCTCAGATTTTGACATACTTACAGATGTGTTTCAGTCTGATTAATGCTTATGGTAGGGTCCCTCCCCTTTTCTGCTTTTGTGAATTAAAAGTGACCTTGGACTAGAGGTTAGTGAAAACATTAAAGACTTTGAGAACAGAAATAAAAAGAGGAAGCTGTGTTTGGCTGAGTTACACTTTGCTAGCCTCAGTTTTCCTCATGGTTCTTTCAGCCTGCACCTAGCATGCCACTCACACCTTCATTCATCATGTTGTAACCTGGTGTGTCTCCCTCACTGGACTGCCAGCATAGGAGTAAGCACAGCATATAATTCATCTAGGCTTTCCTAACTCCCAGCAGGTTACCCAATAGACATCCTGGCCTAGTTAGGGAATATCAGGGGTCTCACCTTCACATAGTCATATTCACAAAGATAGGAGGATTCCAAGTTGAAGTGCATGAAGTAAAGCTTGATCCGAAATCCTTCTGGAACAGTGATATTCCAAGTCACTCTTGAATCACTTGGGTAAGAGTCTGGATAGCCAGGCGACTGAATCTGGCCAAACATATTGTTAAGTTCCACAGTGTGGGCCAAAGCCTTCCATAAGGAGAAGCACAAAGCATGGTAAAGAGGGAGCCACCTAAAAGACATAAATGGATCACCTTACATTCATGGACACAGTTGCTCACCATTTAACTAAGTCAACAGACCAGAGATCAAGTTCTCAGCATATCTCAGCCACTGACTTCTGCCTTTACTCCTCCCCTATGGGCCTTGGTTACCCAGTCTAAAATACAGAAAATGGTAACTCAGTGATTTCTAAGGTTTCTGTCAGTTGTGATCTTTTGAAGATTTGATAATAGTATTAAACTTTCCCAGCAAATACCACATTTGGGACTTTGAGACACATTGTTTTTCTGTTGAAAATGTAAATTGCATAATCAGGTAAAAATTGTTATCATTTCTTCAGCTTAACTTCATTTAAGTACCGTAACCTCTTCTATTTTCTAAAAAGTAATATTAACATAGTAATCTTGGGATGAGATTTATACTCAAGGATGGGATCTGCAGTACCTTACACAAATTTAACAAAATTAATCAAGGTATGCAAAATGTTGAATTAAGAAAGACTTAGTAATATAATATTTTCCCCTCTTGGTAAGTGTTCTTATAAAATGATAAAAACCCTACAATTTATTTCCAGCTGTAGAAATAAAAAAAAAATGGACTATTAAAAGAGTTGGATAAAGGGCAAGGAAAATTCAATAAAACTTACAGAACACACCCAACGTGACTGATGCAATAAAGACAGAATGTTCAAGGCTGGTTAAAACCCTAATGGTCAATCTACACCACACCAAGCATCTAATAGATTGACCCCTCCCCTATCCAAGCAAGACCCAAGGACCTTGAATTCAAACCCCAAACCTGACTCATCAACTTCTCCCATAAATACTGCTTATTCTGCTTCCCATGGTCAATTGATGTAAATGCTCTGAAATTCGTGCATGGGGGAGGGTCCCTCAGCTCTGCCTGCACCCTCTCACAATCCAGGACCCCTCGAGGGATGTCTAACTCCAGTTTAGGCACAATCCTGTAGGGGCTAAATCACAGTCAGGTATCTCTCTCACAATCCAGGACTACTGGCTCCTAACCACTGGCCTCCTGCTTGCCTGATTGCCCCTAACCACCTATGCCTGCATGACTGGCCCTAACCACTCTGCAGCCTGCCTCATTGCTCCCAACTGCTTGCCTACCTGCTTCATCAACCCTAACCACTCTGCCTGCCATTCTGATTGCCCCTAAATGCTTGCCTGCCTGCTTGATCGGCCCTAACTGTCTTTGCCTTGGCCCCTGCCACCGCAGCTTCTTCTGGAAGGTTATTCTGCTGTTCAGTCTAATTAGCATATCATGCTTTTATTATTATAGGATGCTAAGTGGTCTCCTTGCCCCCACTTCGTACTATTCAGCAATCTTCTTCCAAGGTTGATTTACTAATACACAGATGTTGACCATGCTGTGCCACTATGCCTGCAGGGTAAAGCATCTGCTCCCGGGTTGGCTGATGATCCCTTTTTGACCTAGTGCTGATCTGCCTGTCCAACTTTTTCTTAGTGCCAGCCATACTTTGGCATGCCATGCTCACCCATAACTAGGCCTTCTTCCACATGCCATAATCATTCCTACCTAATTTCCTTATTTCTCCTTCATCATCCAGTTTAAAACTTCCAATGCTACAGAGACTCTTTCACTCCATTGAACACATATTACACTGCACTGCATTAGGGGAACAGCCCCTGAAGTTTGATGTATTGGGGTTCAAATCCCAATTTTTCTGCTTACTGGCCATAAAATATTGGGTAATTAGTCTCTCTGAGCTCCAGTTTCCTCATATGAAAATGGGGATTATTCTCAAATTAAAGAACTCACATGAACTCAAGGTTATGTGTTTAAAGGACCTGGTGTAGAGCCTAATAAATAATTGATCATGACTGAATGGGTGAATGGATGAATGAATGAATGAATGAATGAAATGGGGCCATAGTCTTATACAGCCCCAAAAGTCAATTCTGGGAAATTATACCCAGCATTTTAGGATTAATAATTATATTTTTTTCTAGTCAGGAAACTGTTTTCCCCAACCCTCTTTCCCACATGTACAGATGCATATATGTGTATATATGCATATGCATGCATTTCTGAATCTATATACATAGCTTTCTCATGATATTTACATAAACGGTAAATAGGTAAGTGCAAAAAGGAGTAGAAGGATATCAGTAGGGTGCTAGCAATGGTTATTACTGACATGGGACTATGAGTGTTTTTAATTTTATTTTTGTGTATACAAAATGTTCAAATTTGTCTTGAAGGACCTGTACTACCTTTTTTTCAATAAAAAGAAAACAATAAAATTACTTAAATTTTTTCCAAGGCCCTTACAATAGCATCATGTGAGGCGCAACTAAGGAAGCAAATTGTTCTAATCCAATTGCCAGGGTCAACATTTTTTTAAACCAATCTGTTGGAGGAAGAGGCAGAGAGAAGGGAAGGCATTAGTTCAAGTCTCTAGTGAATTCATAGGAAAGCTGAGTCCAGAAACTCACAGGGCCCAGGCAGCCCTACATTCAAGGGAGGAAACATACCCATGTCAGCAGGGCAGGGAGTTCTGCTGCAGTGCTGCTTGGGAAGGGGAGCGTGTTGGTCCTGGAGCAGAAGAACTAGGTTCCAGTTCAGACTTTTACTTCATTTATCTGACCAATTTTGGGAAAGTCATGTTAGGTTTCTGCCTCTTCATCCATTTGGTGATAATAATGACTTCCTATAGGGTTGCTCTCAGAAAAAAAGGCGGTTGGAAAGTGCTTTGTTAACCGCCCAGCCCTAGGCAAACATTAGTTATGATTACTCCATCATGCTGCTTCCCGAAAAACAGGGGGGTTAGGAGTGAGTGTTGGCTCCCAAATCGGACTTTCCTGCAATAGGGACGTCCAGATTGTGCAAGGCTCAAAGGTCAACTTTCTCCATGGCTGCTTTTTTCCAGACCACATGGAGAAGACTCAGCCTCCTACTGTGGGGCTGTCAAGGGCCGGCTGCTGACAGCCCAGAAGCCCAGGACCATGTGGAATAGACAACTGTTTAGTGTGGGAGGAAGGCCTGCGAAGCTTTCTGTTCTATTCTGTTTGCATCTCAAAACAGTTGAACATATGAAACAAATATCTCCTTGCACATAATAGGCTTGAGCATATGCTTGCTTGCTTGCTTTAGGGCCTGCAAATCAGAGGATATAAGTGTCGGCTTTCATTCCCCATCACACTCTCTGAATGTTTTTGGCTTCTTATACACCAGGCACCGGCTGTACAATTCCTGACACCTGCTAACTATATTCTAGCTGATCAAAAAAGTTGAGCTACATTTGCTTGAAATGTCAAAAGTAATGTCAAAAACTGGGATTTCAGAGGCTCCAGTGTGGGAGTAGGCCATCAGGAAGGATAAAAATGCCTGTGCAGATCAGTGATTGTGCAACGAGTAGTAATTTCTATCCTCTCCATTCACTCCCCTCACTTCAACCCACATTACATCCAGACTGTCTCTGAGTAGAAGAGTTGAAAGGGACTGCATAGATCCCTTTGACAACACCCTTAGTTGATGGGTGATGAAAAGGATACCCCGAGAGGTGACATGTCATAGCCAATACCATATGGCGAATTAGCTTCAACAGAAGAAAGGAATAACCGAAGCTCACAGAGGAAGCTGGGTCCATGCCCATATGCCCAGGCATCTAGCCAAAGCAATTAATCCTGTGAAAAATAATTCAAAAACCTGTGTCTTTATGTGAAAATTTTTGAAAAAAATACTAATGCCAAAGCCCCTCCTTCAACAGATTCTAGTTTAATTGGTCTGCAGTCCTCAGCACTTTGAAGTACTACAGATGATGCTAATGTGCAGGAGGCCAGTGTAGAATGTTACTTGATGAGAGTCTGGTAGAATATGGTAGAAAAAAAAAATCCAAGTCTTGGAGTTGAAGCCCAAAGATCCAAGTTTAAGTCTGAGCCTTCTAAATCATCCATGTGGCTTTGGGTAAATTGTTAATTACTTTTATGGTAACTTTTTAATAAATCCTTACCTTATCCAAAAATCTGAAAACCAGAAGAGACAATGCCCGTAAAAGAGTTTTTTAAACTCTGAAGTGCCCTTCAATATGAGGCAAGACTCTTGGAAAACTTCTAGTGGAGCACTTTTCTGTAGTATTTGTGCTATTTCACAACTGAATGCAAGTCAGCCAATATTTATTGAATGCCTAACAGGAAATAGATATTATGCTAAATACTGGGCATACAAATGCAAAAAAAAAATTCCATATCTTAAGAGACATTTGGTTTTGGGAGAGGAGGTGGGCATTTAAACAAGGAGATCTTACAAAGACAAGAAGAGATGTAGCCCCAGAGGATGCTTACTCTGGGGATGCTGGCTAGGGAAGAGGAGGTGATGTTTGAGTCAGCTGGAACAATCAGGTCCCCTAGGTAGAAAATAAGGGGGAAGGATGTTCTGGGTTAAGGAATAGATAAATGCAAAGACACAGAACGGTTCATCAGCCCTGCAGTTCGGTATGACTGGGGCACTGGGGGTAGGGTGAGATTCAAACAGTGACAGATCAATCAAATTGTCATTGCATGTCGACATTCCTTTAAGAGAAAGGAATATGAAGTTAGATGGCAGATCTAAAATTATAATATATTTAAAAAGAACAAATGTTCCTTTAAAAGAATTAACCTTAAAGACCTGCTTACCTCTCTGAACCACAGGTAATCTGAGTTCAAAGAGTTAACCATCTGAAGCCCTTCATTGATCCCAGACCCAGAAGAGTTGCTAGGTGACTTTGCAAAAGAGAAACAAATAGAACACCTTTTTGTTCAATGGAGAAAAAAAAAATTAATGGGGAAAGAAGGGTTTAGGGACTTAACATCTGCAGTGTTTTTCTTTCCTTTCTTCTTCCCTTTTTCTTTTTGTATTCTTAACAGCATTGACACTTATAATTAGTAAAAATAATTATGGTGATAAGGTTTTGAGACTTGCAGAGGAAAACTTACAAGCAATGTATAGTAGGAAGGATCAAGTAACTCAAACTATAGCTGAGGAATAAGAAATGTTGAAGAGCATAAAAACAATTAGAATTTAAAGTCCTGGGTTCAGAACCAAAGGCTCCTTTAAAAATAAATAAAATTGTGGTATCATGTAAGAGCCATTTGGTGTTATTGGTATTCTGACTCATGACACCAGCTGCCTCTGATTTCAGTCAGAAATTCAGAAATTTATAGAAAACTGTAAAACAGGGACAGGTTTTCAGTTTTCTAAATTGGGGTTTTAACTGGCCAACTTCTGAGGGTTTAAGAAACCACAGAGCTGAGCTGTGGGAAGCTGGTTTCTTTTCCGGTCAGAACAAATAAACACACAAACACACATCTAACTCACAGAGTGTTGGGATATGTAAACCAATGTCCTTTGCAGAGGAGGAAAACAAGAAACTGAGCTGTGGACAGCAGGAGGAGAGTCTCATTCGCCAGCAGGCAGCACCCTGTGCTGGCAGAGGAGGAATCTGAGCCTCAGCAGCCCTGGGCAGGATTTGCACAAAGTCTCCCGTTTCAAGTTGCATGTCTCCGGAGTCCCAGGAAGGCGCCCATCCCAGTCTCCCTCTCAGAGCCCTAAGGATTGATAAGAAACCCTTTGTACCACCCACAGGACACAAAGGTGAGCCCGCCCAGAGACAAGGTCAGACCCTGCAGGGCTACCTGACACCTGGTCCCTGAAGGGACACGCTTGCCCCATTCCTACCCTGGCACTCACCTCATTTTCTTGCCTTGGGTGCTCCTGGCTGCCTGGCCTTCGTCCCTCCCAGCCTGAGTTGTCTGTGAGCTCGTCCCGATGTGGTGTCAGCGATGCCTTATCTTTGTTCTGAGGTCCCTGTGTGTCTCTGGAATTGGCTGGCATTCTCCATTCAGGTCACGCCTTCCCCTGCCTGCAACAGATCCCCTCTCCCCCTCTTCCCCTCTCTCCCTCTGTCTTTTCCTCTCTCTCTCTCTCTCTCTCTCTCTCTCTCTCTCTCTCTCTCTCTCTCTCTCTCTCTCCCCTCCCTCTTACACACACTCAGAGGAACCTGACGGAACAGAATCTTTCTTCCTGAAGCGATCTGCTGCTCCTCCAGTTCCCTCCTTATCCTGCATGGCTGGCTCCAGTCCCTGAGAAAAAAATAACTGAAATAAGTGAGTGGCTCAAATAGGTATTTGTGTCACTGTGTGTGTGTGTGGGTGTGTGTGTATGTGTGTATGTGTGTGTGTCAGAGAAAGAGCGAGAGAGAAAGAGAAGAGAGAGAAGAGAGAGAAGAGAGAGAGTCTGTGCGACTGTGTGTTAGTCTGTGTGAGTGTAGAGGGTGGAGGGGGACAAAGTCTAATTTCTCTTCAGTCTCCCTTGCCAGATGGCTATAGTTTTCTGCTCTTTTTCAGGACATTGAAGAAAGGACACCAACTAAACAGAAATAACCAACCAAGCAGGCAATTCTAACATCCACAGTGGGAAAGAAAACAGATCCCTGATCCCCAGGTCTGTGGGCAAACAGCACAGGTTTTCCTGTGAGCAGAGCTGCTGGTGGGAATGTTTGGGAGCTGAGGCCCTGCAGTTGGCTCGGTGTTCCCACTGAAACAGAGAACTCGTGTTGTTTACCAACTCAGAGGTGTAGAGGTCTAACACAGCCAGAGAGGATGGTCCACAGTCAGAAAGCCCTGCACCCCAGTGTAGGAAGAGCCAGGCCTGTTTGCAGGTTTGTGGAGAAATCAACACCAGATTTAAGCTGAGCTGAATAATAAGAGAGGCAACTCCCTTCACAACAATGACAACCAAATGGACATAAAACTGAAATTTTAATTGAGAACCTTTTCTGTGTTAGGTAGAGAGATGCACAAATGTCATCTTAGTGACTCCCACCAACTTGTGAGTGTCATACCATTATACTAATTTTACAAATGAGAAAACTGAGGCTCAGAGAGGCAGCATGACTTGCCAAGATTGCCAGCCCTTTGTTACTTCTTACTGCTACTACCACTAATTAGTGACGCATCAGGCCCTGTTCTAATAATGTGTTAATTCCCTCCAATCATCTTTGTACCTCATCTAGGTGGGTAGTAACAGTGTCACCATTTTACAGGTGTTGACGCTGCCCAAAGAGGTTAAACAACTTACCCAAGGTCACATAGCTAGAAAGCAATGAGGAAAAAAAAATCTGATCTCTAATTTATTATATTATACTTCTTCTCAGTAATGTATTATAATGCATATGACAATTCAAGTACACACAACATTCATAGAGAGACTCAATTTGAACTATTTTGAAAACAGTGCTAGACTCCAAACTTCTATCTAAGCCAGTTGTGTACTTTAGGCCCAATACATAACATCTTCAATTCTGTTTTCTTACCTAGAAAATGGGGTTGTTGCTATGAAACTTAAGTGAGATTATACTTATGGAGGGCTTTTTTACCTAGCCAGTGAGGTACCTGAGAAAGGGCTACCACCATTTCTAATCAGGGGGGCACATGCATGCACTCCCAACTTTGTCTTGGCACATTTTAGGGAATGATGGCTTGAATCTCACTGAAATCCTCCTTGCTCCATTTTCTCTCCAGTTTCCAAGGCTGGCCTTATTAACAGGCTGTGGTAAATAATGTGAGTGCAAGTACAAGGGATGAGAGACTAGGTTTGTCCTCAGTCACTGTTTCAACGAAATGTATAATACATTTCAGGCATAATAGAAACAACCCCTTAAAAGTCCCATTAGGAAGACTCACAGGGTCCTTGGACATCAAATAACTCTCACAAAACAACATTTAAATGATTTAAGTGTAAATGAAGCAGAAACACATGGACTACATTTCTCTTGGAATACACAAGGGTTTTAAAACTGAAAGAGAAAGAATTTGGCACAAGGCACACTGTGCTGGGCAGAGGGTCCTGCCCATTAAAGACATTCCCTCCATTCATGCTGCAGCTGAGCCGGCCCTCTCCTAATTTAGGACACATACAGGGAAATGCAGTCATTTGTCCCAGGCACGAAGGGGAGAGCTTGGGAGGGAAAGTCATCAGCTTCTCCTCGTAAAGTGTCATAGGATAACTGAGCCTCCTGAAATGGCTTCTGGCCATGATTTTTCAAGGCTGCCAGCGTTCAATGGGAGGCATTTAAAATAAGTATAAGCCAAAGTTTTGCCAATATGCAGCAGATCTGATGTGTGCCTCCTTAAGAGTGAGGCAAGGCTCTGATGGAGTCTGGGTGAAAACAAGAATGTTGTGGCTCAGGAGTGATCTGTGTGGGCTTCAGGGAAGCTTCCCATTGGGGTGGACTACATTGATGATATTGTTCTGTGTTTTCAGTAAAAAATTCCCTGTGGTGTCATAAATAGATGGGGGAGTGGGAACAATGGAAGGGAAGTGGTCTGGAAGTAGGCTCAATATGGGCAGGCTAACTTGTATGTGACCTTGGGCGGGTCACCTAGGTTGTTGACTATGGGAGGGGGAGGGAGGCATCAGTTTGCTACACTGTGAAATCAGAGAGTTAGACTCTGCTAAGATCATGAACACATATACATGTGGGCTGGAGGACTATGGGATGCTATTGCAGCTAAGAATATCTAAGAAACTGAAAAATAACCCCAAAGATCACAGCTAAGGATTAAAATTTGGGTTATTCAACACATTGACTTATAGTAGATCAAGTGGATTGCTAATGACCTATAAAGCGAGTCAAAGAGTCCAAAGTGGTCCTCTAATCTAGATACTGGCTTTATCTGTTGCCATAATAGCATCCCATTAATCAGGATTGAAACATAGGTATTCAGAACAATAATTTTTAAAAAGCTTCAACTAGCTTTATTTTTTTAAAGTTTCACTAAAAAGTTTAAAATATGCATACAAGAAACTAACAGGTTGTTACTTAGGATCATGAGAGTATAGAATGGGAGATGGGGGCTCAATACCCCCAGGTTATAGTCAGGGTAAAAGAACAGAAAACTACTACAAAGAGGATAAGTGGCATAGCATTCCAACCACTAGAAAGGACTTAGTTTACATGTTCTACTGAAGTATTTATTATATGCAACCTTCTGGATGGAACCTTCTGGAATTCCATGAATGTGTTAGAAAATGTAAGGAATTTGGAAAATGGTTTTTTGTTGGCAAAGTCTTAAATCCAAGCTTCTTAAGAACATCCAAGAAACTGATAAATAGCCCCAAAGATCACATCTTAGAATTAAAATTTGGGTTATTCAACAAAATGACTTATAGTATGCTGAAAGCCATCACTTCAGAGTCTAACAGACTATCAGAATCATCTGAAGAATAAAAAAAATACACACACACACACCAAAAACAAAAAACAAAAAAACCACTCCAATATATTATTATATGTAATATTCCTATCTTTTTACAGATGATGACACAGGTTCAGAAAGGCTAAGTGTGTCAGCAAGAGGACAACCAATATTTACAGCCCAGGCCTCCTAACCCCAAATTCAGGACACTTTCCCCTCATCTGGGAACTCCTGATACTGCCTGTGGACTTTTGAACACTCATGAGCCTTGTTGTCATGTAACAAAAAAATTGGGGGAAGGAAAAATAGTTTCTACTAAATAAATAAACTGTTAAGTTCTTTTATAGAATGAATTGTGTCTTTCAAAATGCATGTTGAAGCAAGCCAGTATCTCAGAACATGACTATTTAGAATAGTTTCTTTAAAAAGGTGATTACATTAAAATGGAATGTTAGGGTGGTACCAAATCTAATATAATTGGTGTTCTTATAAGAAGAGAAGATTAGGACATACAGGGGAAAACAACAACAAAACAAAACAAAAACAAACAAACAAACAAAAAACATGTGAGGAGATAGCAAGAAGGTGGCCCTCTGTGAGCCAGGAAAAGATGGCTCAAAAAAACACCTTAATCTTGAACTTCTTTAAAACATCTGCCAACACTTTGATCTTGAACTTCTTGTCTCTAAAACTGTGAGAAAATAAATTTCTGCAGTTTGAGCTGCCAAATCTGCAGTATTTTGTTATGGCATCTTTAGCAAACTAATACAGGTTCTCTTATAGAAGGTTTCCCCAAAGCATGAAAGACATGTCAAGCTGGTTGCAGGTGCCAAATACATGAAATTAATAAACATTGAGTTAGTTAAAAATTCTGTTTGGAAAATAAAAAGAGAAACTTTGACTAATGCTGAAATATAGAGAATTTATTTTCTTTATATAGTAAAAAATGAGGAGGTAGGCAGTTCTGGAGCAGCTACTCAACATTGTTTTCTTTCTTTGTGCTCTACCAGCTGTAGGAATTGGGCTTTTATTGTCATGCTGTTACCTCATGGTTACAAAATGGCTGCAGTGACTCTAGATGTCATACCACTATCTCAGTAGAAAAGAAGAATAAAGAGGAAAAGGTAGCATTGGGGGAATTTTCTTAATTTCTCACAGGTCAGAGCTGATTCCTACAGCCACCACTAACTTTGAGGGTTTTACAGCTTATACAGAGGAAGCAGGTATTAAAGAAGATAAGGGTTGGAAGTGGGGATTGTATGAGTTGACTGTCAATGTCTGTCACCATCATATGCCAAAAAGAGTCCTGCCTTTGAAATTTCTCCTTCACTCCTGATATTATAAAAAAGAAAGTCTCAAAGTGGTATCATTATACCATGAATACTATTTTCCCTTTTAACAAGGAAATGCAGGTCTCAGGCTCAGTCTTGAGGATGCAATGGTATTTTGCTAGAATTTAACAATTTTTTATTCATTATCTTTATTTTTATACTTAT